TAAAAAAAAAAGCAAATGTTATTTTTCTCATATTCCAAAAATTAAAAAAAAATAACTGCTATTTAAAAATTTATTCTATGAAAATGTCACATGTAAACAAGTTGTGGACTGAAGGATATGTTTTTACGCTTTCCAAAAAGAAACATTCCTATTCCATAATTTAAAAACGTTGTGAAATGTATGGTATTAAAAATTGTTGTGAAAAATTAGCAACATTATGAATAGAGAAGGGAATAACTGTGAATCATTACTTCTATATGGAAAGAAGTCTTTAAATGAATACCTGCGAAAGGTACGTACTGTTTTTAATATTTCTAAAGTTAAATCTTTGGCAACAAGAGAAAAATCTGTCCACGCAGAAACCAATTCAATTCGTCTTAAATCTGTGGAGAAAAAATAGTGAACCAAGATTTACAATTTAAAAGCTAAAAAACATAATGTTTACCAGCTTTTTCCAAGGCATGTGGCTGAATGCAGAATAATTTGTAGAACAATGCATGAAAACTATTTAGCATGGAATTAATTAAAATACATTGTGACCCTTGATGAAACATGGGTTTACCTAAATGACGGCAACAGAAAATGGTCTGTTTATTATGGAAAAGGAAGAGAAAAAATGTATAAACCTGGTTCTGTCAATGCAAAGAAAGTTTCTGTAAGCGATTTATGATTGTCTCATGATTCTCTTATAACAAGAAATTAAAAGTAAGAAGAATGGAAAAATATTAAAATGAACTCAATGTTCTATGAAGAGAAAGTTTTAAGTTCAATTTCTTTAGACCAGTGATTTTCAAAGAGTGAAAGTTCATTAAGACAAAGCAACAAGTCATACTTCAAAAAGTACCGTTGCATTCCTTAAAAAAATGAAGACTGGTACAGGTATTTCATACATACCTTTTAAACGTATTCCCGCGAAGTCCTCTGATATATGACCCATGGACTATTGTGCCTCTGATCTTTTGAAAAGATCCCTTTCTAAGCGCAAATCCACCACGATTAATGGACTCTGGAAATTAGTGGAAGAGGATTGGAAATCAATACCCCTGAAAATTTTAGGAAAAGACCTTCTATCATGAAAATCATGACTCAAACGTATAGTCCAGAAAAAGGCTATCGGATCGAACATTAAAAAAGATATTCTTTACATTTAAACATTAAATAAACAGACCCGAAATCTATTTAAAAATGTGTAAACACTCTCTGTATATTGCGGGAAATTTAATTACAACACTGCAAGAATTGAACGTTTTCATTAAGTAAAATATTTTAATAGCGTGATTGCACGAATTTCATTAAACTAGTTAAATTGCGTAAGTAAATTTCCTAAAATAATATATTATTTACATATCGTTTTTACATATCTGAATATAATTTACTTATTGCATTCTCTCCATAAATGAATCATTTTTGCAAGTACGCTTTAATTTAATAAGCCTTTTCCCTAAATAAAAATCTTTTGCTACAGTAACAACTAAACTTTTTGCCGCTCTTTACAACAATGGATGCAATTTTCGTAAGGAACTTTCTGGTAAGTCTTATACTTCTTACGTCGTAAATATCCCAAAGCGTTTTTGGTAGAAGCAAAGTGAATCCGAGTGATAAAAGGTTCTCGAATCTTTCGAATTCTTTATGTAAGAATAATAAAAAGAGTTAAAAATTTTGCTTAATATTGGAAGTTATAACAGCAATATCACTTGAAATGGTTATTTACATATCAGCGCTGCCATTGGCACAGTTTGTAATTTTTTATCTGATGTGTACACCACATGACTTCCTTGTACGGAATATTAAATTGTACGCATTTTTCTTGCATTTCATTTAAACTTATTGGATTGAATTAGATCTACTTCGCCGACAGCGCATAAACCACAATAAAATAAATGCATTCTTTAAAATTCACTCTAGTATTTGTTTACCATAGCGACACTCTGGCGCTAGTATAACTCATAATGCACAAAATTTATATTATTTAAAGAATAGAATTATCTAATCGTTGCCACATGTTCTATTCAAATACTATTATAAAGCTAGAATGATGTATAAAAGAAATTAAGCAAACAAAACAAAAAAGAAGCAATTTTTTCACAGATGATTCAGTATTTCTCATTCAATTAATTCTGTTCTCACTTAGAGACAAGGCAAAAATATATAAAAACTCAAAATATCTATATTAAAAATTACGAAGTAAATCTTAAAGACGTATTTCCTCGAAAAAATTCCAGAAAGGATTAAGCATGATTAAATTGGCAATAATAAATGAAGGCGTTATCTTTGTTGTTGCGAAGCTAAGTTTCTCCAGATTGGCAACAAATCCACTAGTCTGAAGTTTCAAATGTAAACAATCAATGGCTGCCATAAAAAAAAAAGGCTTAGCGGCACTTAAACAACTTTAAAATTGTTGATAATTCTAAAAATATTGCATACAGATTTACTAAAGGCATAAAAACCTTAACCGGAAGACAATAACAACATAATTCAGTCATTTTTAAAGCAAAAAATGTACAATTTATAAACATATAAGAGTAAAGAAACTGAGATCACTGAGCCGGGTAACAGAGTGGATATATATATATAATATATTTATATACGTTTGGTGCTGCAGCCGATTGCAACCAAAATACGAGGTGCACATCTACATGTTATAGCAGTCCTATATATAAAATTTCAACGTTCTGAGGCTACTCGTTTTTGAGTTATGCGAGATACGTACGTACGTACATACGTTCGTACAGACGCCACGAAAAATTCTCTTCAGAATTAATTTAAAAGCAGTTTTATAATTTTTTTGGAGGAAACGAGTCTTTTATTCTGTCCTTACGTACAGGTATCACCAAAAACATCGTTAAATTGCATCCGATAGCGGTAAAAATGGATATTTTCGTCGAAATATGCTGCCTGAAACTTTTCGTGATTACAATACTTCCTTTTTACTTTATACAAGGAAGTAAAAAAAGAATGCTTCATAACTGCGAAAATTATTGACCAAGTACATAGTTATAGTTACATTTATACAGCAGTTTCTTCTACTACGAGCAAATCCGCAAGTGCATATTTTAAAAGAGACAAATTATATCACAATTTTTCCGTAAAAACTAGTGGAATTTGGAGTACAGCAAAAGGTATGCACGCGAAAAGAGGGATGTCGCTTGTTAAAACTGTAGAACTGTCATAGGCATGATTACTTGAGGAACTGTTATGTGCATGGTTGCTAGATATCTGCACATTCTGAAAATTTGTCGACTTTTATCAAGGCTGATGCGGTAATACATTAATAGCCTGAAAAGATAAAAATGAAGTATATAATTGAAATTCTTGGATCTTGTGGTTAATTTTGTCAATATCGTTTTGAAAAAAGAAATATTTGAGTAACAGTTTAAATGTTTTACATTTTTTCAGTTTTTCCGAGAGGAGAGAATTCAAAAGTTATTTATTTCAGTTCAAGAAGTACTAAACATATTACACTTTTAGAAGACAGGGTTACATTTGTGATCCAGGTACCACAGAAATTTAAAAAAACATATTTTCTTTTTTTTTTTTTCTTTCTTTTTTTCTTTTTTTTAAGAATGCTTTTATTGAGTACCAGCAGTTAAGCTCCCAGCCTTCGTCTTTTCGTTATAAATAAATTAACTAACTTCCCGTTGCCTTCTTTCAACAAATGTCCAGTATCCAAGAGAAACATTAAATTTAAAAACTGCACAGAATTATCGCCTTCATTTTTCCAAGTGGCAACAGTGCTGATTTTCAACGGTCAGCAGACCAGTATACAATTGAATTAAAAACTGTTGCCAAAATCACATTTCTAAAAGAATGAAACTAATGTTGCGATAAAATCGAAAAGATAAATTAAAATAAAATCTGATTCGAATTTTTGAAAAAATCACTTCGAGGTGCACTGGCTCTTGTCTAGATGCACCTACTATATACCAACTTTCGTAGCCCTGGGTCTATTAGCTTACGCGCAGCACGAACGAAAAGTCACACAGACTCTTTCTTTTATTACATGTAGAGATAAATAAAACTAAGCTTTGCATAGTTTTTATTCTGAGATAAAAAGTTTAACAGTTTTTAGGATTAAGATTCGAAAGATTCGAGTAATGAAAAAGGGCAAAGTTTCGAAGCCTATCAAATCTTTTCGAAGAGTTTCAATATCTCCATTCCTAATTTTGTAATTCATCATCAGAGATTGGGCATATGTAACATATCAGTTGTTAGCCTTTCGACCTACTTATTCATTTTATGGAATGTTAGATGGTCAATAACAAGCAACTTCTCAGTTGATCAATGAACTCAAGAAGCGAAATGGAGGCGCCATGAGTTCAAAAAGGAAAAACTAAAACGAAAATAACAATGAATTATAAACACTGAACTTAAGCTTTTTTATTGGCCATCTAAGCTTTAGAATTTGAAGAGTTGCAGTTTTGAATCTTGCTTCTTTGTGTTTAGGTATTTTAAAGAAACATTCGGCATATGAGCATACAATTAAGCATAAGATATTGTACTTAATGATAATTAAATGCTTTTGGAAGGAACGTAAGTAAAATAAAAACTACTATTATCCAAAAGATTTCAGTTTGCCAAAATAAGGCATCGCAGATTTCTGTCAAAGAATTTCTTTTGATTTATACTTAATTAGTAACAATATTTAAAGTAATCTTTCCAGTGTCATTCCTATCCGATAAAACTTTCTTCATTAAGGTTTACAATACATGCAAGAAATGTATCAATTTCAGCTTTAATAAATGGTAAAATTCAAGTTGTAAATTATGAAATTGTGAAACAAATGAAGCTCAAAATTTACCAAATTCTGAAAATCATTGCTATTATTTATAAGATAGCGTTATCTCATGAATATGAAGTGTTATAAAAATAAATAATTAAGTAAAAATTAACAGTTATTACGCAGTTTTTAAGTCAACCTGAGAAAACAAGCTTTGATTTTGTTGATTGAAAATTTTAGGTACTTTTTATTGCTTTTAAGATAAGAACTTTTGCTAGTTTTGTAAAATGTATATTACTTGAATACTTTATATGCACAAAATAGCCATTATATAGAGCAAATAAACACAATGGAAAGATAAATATAGATCAAACAGGAGAATAAACAGAAAATTGCGCTCCAAATTCTTCCCTGAAAATTTATCATTGAGCTTAAAACGTCTGGGTAAACAAAGAATTTTTATGCAACGAATTAACATTTTTTAATGAATCATTTCCTTTCTTGCTACCCAAATGTACGATTAAGCAGAGTTCATAACATTGCACTTAATTCCACTTTTGAAATAAATGATATTTAGATACATCTTTCACTGGAATGTAGAAATCTGATTTCTGTTCCCATGCGAAAAACCGAATGTCTCAACAGTATTATTCACTTTTTACATGACAGATCACCGGGGTTGAGAAACGCTTCGTTTCTTCATATCATACAATTATTAATAAGGCCTCCAAACTGTTGCAGCTTCACTTTGTGCTGTCCGTGGCAAGGCATTCAAACGCAACGAATCAAGCCTTTCGCGAGACGATGGCAATACCGTATGACCATTTGTGCTATTAGTATCCTGTCGCGTTTCATCTGAACAGGAAGAGGGCGATTGCAGTTCTTTGTTGAGCAAATCGGGATTATTATGATTATTTAATTGCTGTATTTCTTGATGCTGAGAAGCCATTGCTGCTGCGACATCATACGAATTCCTGGCATCATTTCCAAGGAGATGGATGGATGGATGAAGATGGCTCTGTTGATAGAGTTGCGGATACAGAAGCGAAGGTGGCACCATACTTGGCCCTAAGTACATACCAGCACCAGCTGTTGCGCCGTTGCTGGCATAATAGTTTTGGGAAGCCAACAAATAGCTGGCATGATTCACTGACAAAGTAGACGACGAAGCACCTGGTAGAAGAGGAATATTAGTTCGAGGTATTTGTAATGACGTGTTGGAAACTGATAATTTATTCGGTTCTAACACATGCTGTCCTGGACTAGATTCTGACGTAGATGCAGATGTAGCTGAAGATGGACTGTTATTTAACGGTCGACAGGTTGAGAGTTCGTTCTTCGCTTGCCCTAGGTTATCCAACAATGATTTAAATGTGAATGCTGATGACGGATGCAGATGGCCATTGCCTGGATTTGAATTCGGTGAAGTATTAGCCTCTGAAAAATAAAATCAATAAGCATTTATTTATATATGAAAACCGGTTCAAACAAATATAGTTAACAAAATATATAAAATTTTTGTTGACCTTATAAAAGAAAAGTTATTCACCCCCCCAAAAAAAAATAATTATTTTCATTCATCAGCACTGGCCGAAAGGCCTAGTTAAAGTAGCTTAAAAGACCTAGTTAAAGGAGCTTAAAGGATCGGCGAAAATTTTAGCATAAGAGCTTTATAATATTCATTAATATTACTTCATTCATTTACAATATTCAGAATCTATATTTTACAGATTTTCATAATGAATATTTTACAGAAAATAATAGTTGTAAAGGACGAAAAGAAGAAATATTTTCTACCGATGAACAAAATGTGAATGCTTGAAATACTAAGAAAGATTTTATAATTTTAAGAGCAACAAGGAGATTAATGATTGTTGTAATACAAAGCAACCTAAAGCAGGAGATTTTAGATAAATTTGGACAGATAAACAACATACTATGAATTTAAAATCCCATTCACTTTACTCATTTACGTTTTCCCAAATAAAATTTTACCTTCTTCTTGTCCACAAACATCGTACACTATATACTTATATTGCATGGGATGCCCAGTATAATTACCCGAATAAATTTTGAACAAATTTAGTTAGGTTCATGAAAGCTGTTAACTGACCATGATATACCAGACGAGATAATTGAATTTCAGAAATTATGAGAGATATCGAAAAATATACAAATCAATACTTCTTAATTAATAGTGCTACCTTCCAAATTGTGCACTAGGGTTTGATTTAGTTTGCTGATTATGATAAAACTAGCAAGACTGAAAGTAAGGATACCTTCAAGTAAGATTACCTAAGAGAAACTGGCAGGTAGCTCTCGCGTGCTTTGACACGTTGTAAGAGCGCCGACAGATGGCGTTGTAAGAATGCCGCCGTTAGAAGGCGCAAAATTGAGAAGCGCCAGAGAGAGAAGAATGCAAAGGAATGCAATGTCCCAGCTACTGCTGGATGATTTTATGTGAATAATTTGTTTTTATAATAACCTAAAAAGTGTGACATTTTTTTTATGAGTCATACAAAGGAGAACACATCATCAACTAACAGATGTATCCAAATGACATAATTTAACCATATTATACAGATCCAAATTAAAAATTAATCCTAAAATTTCTGCAAACCAAGAGAAATAAAATAATGAAAACTAAGAGAAATAAATTTATTGCAATTTGCATTGAAATAACATAATATTTAGAAATGAAGCCTTTAAGTGGACGTGAAGTTGAGGACTAGGTGTGGAATGGTTTCTGTGTTGCCATATTTAACAAACAATAAATACCAACTTCTTTCGGGAAAGCGGAAATAAATAACGTTACCTATATACAACTAGTGTGTGTGTTGTGGCCAAAATTGCGAATAGTACATGTAAGAAAATACGATCATTGCAGAAGGGATAGTTTGAGGTTCTGTACACTACATGATTTTTGAAATCAGCAACAAGAAAGGAAAGGGTGCAACTATATATACTGCTGTTAATATATATAAGCAAATATGTATTAACAGCAGTATATATAAGTAAACTTGTAATTAAGTTAAAAATAAGTTAAGAATGGACATACAAAATAAATATTGCGCTATCGCTGCTAAGAGCATCAATATAAATTTTAATTATGATTAGTAATTATGATTAGTAATTATGATTAGCTTTTAGGAAACGAATTATTGTAATTGGAGAATTTTTAGAAGTTAAATCTTAGTAAACGCTTAAATCTTAGTAAAACGTGGTTAGCAAAATACAGAAGTTAAATCTTAGTTAAACGTGGTTAGCAAAATACAGAGTTTGTATTAAATTTTATAAGACTCAAATTAAAAAATCAAAGAATAATAGAAAGCATGTAAAACATAAAAATATAAGAATAATGAACACAAGATTTATATTTTCTTATTACTTTGTTATCTTTCAAATAGTATTATAATAACATCAAAATTAAAATATTACAATTATAAAAAAATCTTTAAAAAGAGTTTGACTTTTTTTTTTTTTTTTTTTTTTTCATCTAGCTGAATGTATGACATTTTACAAAAACAGTGTCATAAATATCAATCTGTTATATTTCATTGAATCAAAATTTCGAAATTCCAGTTTACAGAAGCAAAAATGTTCCATGTAATGGCAGTTTAAGGGAGAAGAATATTTATTCTTACAAATGGCAAATTTATGCGATTGTACAAGATTGCATTACTATCATTTACATTTAAAACAAGCTTTGATTTTATGGTAGAAGCAAAAGGCTAGAAATAGCTCAACGAATTCGAATATAATTTTCGCACTCTCGTTATGTAAAGAGCTCCACAGCTCTTTACATAACGTTGAAATCATTATGAATTTCAACAAATGGGAAATGAAGCATAAATTTTATTAGATGGAAAGATTTTTGTTATTCTTGAAGATGCCATAAACTCTATCAGCGTTTGTTTCACAGCAACAGCTCTCAGACTTTCACAGTTCCACCTCGCCCCCCCCCCCGGAAAAAAAGGACTCTGAAAGTTTAGTATGTTTTATCAGTAGAGATTACATTTAGAGGTGGCTCAAGTGTATCGAACTTTTTATCGGATACTAGATGAATATACATTTAGACTAACATGAAAACGTTATACATCTGTATATTTGAGAAGTGAAAAAATATTCATTCTATAAAAATATTTAATGTTTTTAGTTAGATATATCACGAATTAAATGAATTTGTATTTAAATTAATCATGTTAAAAAGTAAAATAATAACATTCTTAAAAATTGCATCTATTATTTTTAAATAGCTAAGTTTGTTAATCAATAACAGACAAAATTTTTTACTTTTATATTTATTTACGTGCTCCGCCCTTAGGCAACTACACAAAAGGGAGGGGTGCTTCGTGAAGGACTTTCTAAAGAAAACTGGCCGTATACACGTTACACACAGGGAAAACCACGAAAACGCCCATGCCCCTTTCGCGGGATTTAAACCTCACACCGAACTACCAGTATTCAGCGACTTCCCCACTCGCCCGCTGGTGCGCCTTAACAGACAGATTAAATTTGAAAAATAAATAGCTTACATTTTGGCGAACAGAAATAGATCCGAAAAAAAAAAAGTGAAACAAAGCATTTACAGTGCACGACATTTAAGTGAATCAACGTAAAAAAAATCGTGTTTCGAACAATAATAAACCATAATAAAAAATAATCGAAGTTTTTTTCGGAAAATTCAAGAAGCTAGAATGATAATAAAAGAATAATAGCCTTTTTGGGCTAAAACACTCAGATACACTTTGTTTCTTGAGGACAATGCAAATAGTTCTCAAAAGGCAAAGCATTTTGATGTATACTATTTCAGTTTATATATATACATACATATGTGTGTGTCGAAACATAATCGCTTCTTTTAGTTATTGATTATCGAACTTCCGAGCTCTCCAACTCGCGCCGAGTGTGCCGATCATTACACCAGGAAGGCGTGCTAAGAAGGCTGGAGAAATACTTTGTAATATATATCAAGATTTGCACACTCTCCCGGTAAAGCTGTGAGACTGTCAGTTTTTCATCACAATCTTCCTGCTATCTATCAAATATAAATCGAGAAGAAATAATGGAAATTCAGTTTTAAAGGAAACGGAAATGCTGTGAAAAAATATTTTGGTGATAGATTCTTAAAATAATGCTAATGTTGTCATCTTTTTTATTAAACTAAAATTGCCCAAACTCTATTTTCTTTCCAAGTGACTTTCAGAGTGCATGCAGAAAGTTTAATGGTCCAAAAAATGCCTTTATATGGAATATTTTGAGCCATATCCTTGTGTAACGAAATTTAGCATTACCACCTATCTGAAAATCATAGTTAAATAATTCAATAATCATGGCCATATTTGTCTTTTACACATTTTCTTCTCAGCCGGAGAAGATTATTTTAAACAACAAAATGCTTTGTGTTACACTACGAAGAAAGTTAAGGAATAGTTCCAAAAGCGGGAAAGACGAATTCCATTAATTGGCACTGCCCTCAGTTTCGTAAAATGTCAATCCAGTCGAGCATTTGTGATTTACGTTGGAGGACCATTAAGAGCAACATTACAGAAACCACCCAACTATTAGAATTAAGGAATATTCTGCAGTCTTTGTATTACCCACCACCAAGAATCTAGATCTATGCGATCTACCAAAGAACACTGAATCTGTGTCTATTGGTATAGGAGGTGTTTTGGCAGTAAATAGTGGAAATACGTTATGTTAGATAATAATTTTTAATGTTTCGATTAATTGGTATATCGCGTCTGTTTTCTTCTAGATGTTTAAGATTACAAACTAAACTACTTGAGAATTATTGAGTAAAGTAAAAATATGTACCTGCGAGCGGTGACAAATGTGTGTCTTGGCTGGAAATTCCTGTAGCAGTGAAGGCGCTATCGATAGCATAACCAGTGAATCCTGTACCTCGGAAAGCCGCTGACGTGAAATATGGCGAGTAATGAGTATTGTACGATAGCCAATGGGGATGGTCTCCGGCTGCGAAACTGAATGTCTGAGACAGTTCTGAAATATTAAAAACAGTGTTCCAGCAAATATAACAAAATTCGTACATACACATACAAACACACACGCACACACATAAAAAAAGAGACAGAAGAAAGAAAGGGGAAAAAGTGAGCATAAAAAATTTAGCTGTTTTTTTATTCCATTATTAATAGATAATGTGCATAAATTCATAAGAAAAGAATCTTTCTTTCTATAAGCCTTTGAAAAACAAATTATTTTAATAAAAGTTTCATATATACAACTGTAAAGAGCTTAAGCATTAATGCAATTAATTATAAGAACAGTCCCGGATCTAGGGGGGGGGGCAAGCCGGGGTCCGTGCCCCGGGCGGCTACTTCTGAGGGCGGCAGATTCAAGAGTGACGCTGAATTGTATTTGGAATGTTGTGAAATTTTGATGCAACATTAGTAGTTTTAAAGCTAGATTTAAAATCTCTTTCAAGAATATTTAATTAATTAGTCGAAACCTTTTAATGGAGCAAATAGTTTTAAAGGTAAGCTAAGTACAGCCGAAGACGATTCTAAAGATCAGATCAGGGAGAGGACAATAAAGGGACTCTAGGCGTCACTGAAAAAGTCAAAGGACCCTGTCCCTCTGCCAACCCAATATGTAGTTTTATTACAAAGGTACTCTATAGACGCCTTGGTCTTTGGTCCCTATAAGTGACGCATAGAGCAAAGAATCTATATATATTCCCCCTCAACTTCATTGCCTAGAGTCCCTCTGTTGTCCTCTCCAATGTCGGGAATATTCAAATGAAAAACAGAACGATTGCATAGAGGCGCCTTGTTTTTATACCAACGACTCTTACGAAATAAATGGAGAAGCATTGTGAATTGTAACTCTTTCCTAACACCCAATACAAATTAACCTTGGACCAATGAAATAATTCAAATTAATGTACGTCGAGAATATACAACAGAAATGAAGTAAGGAATTTTGATTTTTTTGCAGCCAGTCAGCAACCTAGGTTTTAAAAATGGATTTATTATTTTTATAGTTTTTAAAGTTTTTTTTAGTTTCTTTTTAATCTGGAGGGTTTTTTGTTGTCTCATTTTCTTTTAATATGCCTGCTTCTAGTATTCCTCACTATATTTAGCGAGACGTGCAACCATTTAGTTAGCGCGCGCGTCTGCGACGCGGCCCTAATACTGTTGAATGTTAATTACGTCAATTTTTAGCTTTTCTTATTAAGGCAAGTTATACTGTATATTATTTAGGGTGCAAGAAATCATGAGAGGGTCTAGGAAAAAATTCTCAGGGGCCAGAATATAGAACCATAGCAAAAGATAGGACTGAACAGAGAAAACAAATTGCAGCTAAAATGAAAAATGGCTTCACGGAAAAGACGAACCGTCAGACCCTGCCGCAACTTCCGATGGTGCAGAGATTCTAAACGATATTGATATTTCTTGCAATTTGCATGACCCAAAATGCAGAATCTTCATCTATCATCCTCAAACAGACTCCATTTCAACAACTGAGAGAACAACTTTCTTCATAGACCCCCAAACAAACACGTAGTGGACATGAAATTAGAATATAATGTATTTTCTCATTTAGGTGAATGTGGGCAGCAGAAAGAAGACTTAAAATCTTTTGATTTGTCGGACCCAGATAGTTGGCCAATCACAGAAAAAAATAACGATCAGCAACAATCTTTCTTAGCAGTCAAGCTGTATTATTAGCCGAAAAATATCCAGAAAACGTAGACCTTATTAGACTGACCGTGATGGAAGACATTTGACATCTTCATTGTGGCACAGAACATTAGCAAATAATGAAAGGCTTAAAAGATCTTGGCTTGTATATTCTAAAACTAAAAATGCAATTTTTGCACACCCTGTGAGAATTACCAGAAACATGCCACTGCCGTTACATCTGCATTTTGTACTGCAGGATTCATTAATTGGAAAAAAGCTTCAGAAAGGTTAACTGAGAACGAAATATCTGAAATCCACAGCGAGTGCATGATTAAGTGGAAAATTCCACTACAACAAATGAAATTGTGTCAAGGCATCGATCAACATTAAGAGATTAATTCACACAGAGAAAGATCCTACAGATGAGTATGGATGCTGTATTGTATCTTTCAACAAACTGTCTTTCTTTCCGCGGGTCTGATGAAACCCCTGGCAGTCTGCTCACAAAGTATCCTCGGCCTAGTCAACGCAATTTTTTTATTTTAATGACTTTGCTAGCCAAACATAACTCTTAAGTACCAGTTAGAATACCTAAGGAAGGGACAAAAGTATCATATTTAACAAAGGTAATTCGAAATGAAATTACTGGTGTAATGGCGAAAACAATTCGCAATAGCATTTTAAATGATATTAAGTAAGCCAAATATTATACAACAATGTTCGATTGCATTCCAGATGTGTCGCATACGGAACAAATGAGCCAGGTGATTCAATACGTAAAAAATATGTGGTAATGTGTGTGAAATAAAGGAGAGCTTTACTGATTTCATAGAAATTGGTGGAAAGTCAGAAGAATATATTTCTCAACGGATTGTGAGAAAACTGACACTTGATGGTTTGGATATTAACAATGTCGTGGTCAATCTGAGGATAACGGATTATCTAGTATGGCCGGTACTTACCGGCCATACTAGATCTTGGAGTAATCCTGGAGTACAAGCCAGGATTATAGAAATGAATAAGCTGCTCGAATATGTGCGATGTTTGGCTCACTCTTTGAATCTTGTCTGTGTGCATTCTGCCTCCGTCTTCACCCGAAGCAGTTAACTTCTTTGGAATTATCCAGAAGATATTTAGCTTTTTTGTGGGATTCATGTCCGATTCACTATTTGATGGGATATTACGAAAAAGATGTACAAAAAACAACTCAAAAGGAAGCAGCCAGACGAGATGGTTGGACAAAATATGTGGCTATGAAAGCCCTTCTAAGGAAATGTACCAGAAGTAGTAAGAATCCTTGAAAGAAATTAACTTATCTTTCAAAGTACTATATTACTATTTCAAAATTAATTATTATCTATCAAAGTACGAAGCAGGTACGAACGAGTAGGACATCTGCTACATTGTTATAAAAAATGTTGAATTTATTATCAGCCTGACAATGTGGGCTAATATTCTTCGGAGAAATCAATCGAATAAATTCTGAAATACTGAAATTCAAATAGAAGATATTATTCTTTGCGCGTTCCGTCGCATTAATGGAAGATCTGACCAAAACTTTGTTTCAAAAAATGAGAGAAATTCCTACGGAATATTGGATAGAAGCTAATTAGAATTAAAGCAGCAGCTGAAAAAAATTGAGGTTGAACCTATTCTGACAAATAAGTGAATTCTAAAACGCAAAAAGGAATTTGATGAATTGTGCGAGGACGAATCACGAACATTTCATCGTGTTCAGCTACTTTCTAATGCAATGAAAATTATATTTGATCAAATCTTATCAGAAATTATAACGAGAGTAAACAGGGCTATTACACTAAATTCAAATTTCCATTTCCTCAATGGTCGTGGAATATTGAATATGTCAACTGAAGAACTGCAAAAGAATAGAGCAGATCTTGCGCGAAAATATGAGCGAGATCTCTAAACGCATTTGAATTCTGTCAGGAACTTGCCGATTTTAAAGAACAAGTCCCGATGTTATTTGTCGACATAAAAAGGCTAAAGCTTTTCATCTCTTGCAACAGATCTACACCTATGACTTTTAGGATGCCTTTTACAATATTTGTATTGCCCTGCGGATTTATTCTATGCTTCCAACTACATCCGCAAGCTGTGAGCGAAGTTTTAGCAAATTAAAACTTATTAAGATCGATAACATTAGATTATTAAAAACTATCTAATGTTATCGATGAGCCAGGAGCGTTTATCAAGTCTCGCAATTCTGGCAATCGAAAATCAAACAGCACATCAAATTAATTATGATGATGCCATAGATTTATTTGCAGAACAAAAGGCTCACAGAGTAAAATTTTAATCCCGTAATATTTTAAGAGCGTTAGGTAAAAACTTAAAATTATTATTGAAATAAGAATTATGAAAAGAAGTACAAATACTAACCTTTTCTTTTTAGTAGTAGCCCGTATTGCTGTTATGTATAGCTAATGAAAGTTAGTTACATAATTAATCAGCTCATCTATTGTTCCAACTTATGTAATCTATTGTTTGTAACTAAAGATTATTTTTATTAAGAGTGCATAATCAAGGGTATCGAAAGACGTATAAGACGTATATAGTTTTAAAGCTACCATAAGGTATTTTACATTCTTTAAGCGTAACATTTTTGCTAAAATCTTCTTTAAACATAACATTTTGCATAAGCATAGCTATACAAATTGCTATTATCCATCACACAATGAATGTTTCTTTTATGCGGAAGTGTCCCGTTTTTCGATTTGTATGGAAGTGTCGTGTGTCAAAATACTATCACTGCGCTGTCAAGGGAGGTTCTAAATGTAAACAAAAAAACACTCCATCTGGAGATCGAAACCCTCGGAGCAGTGCTTCACTCGCAGTGCGGGGTTGGCCCCTCCTTTCTTTCTTACTTCCATGGTGTGGCTAGTTATTGTAGTAAATATTGCAAAATTGCGTATTTCTGAGAAAATGTAATTTTGATTATTACAGTACAAAAATAGTCTTTTGCGTGAATATGTAAATATTTATTACATGTATCTAGGGCTTCGTGAGGACGATAGTAGAGTTCTTGAGTAGACTACATGAAGACGTTATTGTGAAATGAATATTTAACGTGCTAGGTTAAAGTTACTGTTACTATCGAAAAATTGGTAATAAATTATTCAATCCACTGTATTAGTGATTTGTAATTTGCTTATATTTGTTTAAATGAATTTTTTTATTATTTATTAATGTCTGATTTCCATTTTTGTGCTGTGCTGAACTATTTTAGTATTTAGTTTTGAATTGTTTTCTATTAGCATCATTTATTAGTATGAGTAGGTATTGTAAAATATAAATTATGAAGGTATTGTAATATTGAAAAAAAATCCTCATTTC